TTGTGCAAGAGAACTCCCGTTGTCTTTGTAATGATTGAATGTTGATTAACCAATGACTCAGGTTAAGCCATGGGTGAAAACTAGTCTTGCCCCTGGTTCTGGAGTTGTTACAAAATATTTGCTCAAGAGGTAATTTTCTGTTTCTTGAGAATGAAATTTATTAATGTATAGATACAAGTTACTTATTGAATTTTAATCTTGATGCAGTGGATTGCAAAAGTATTTTGATCAACAAGGTTTTCAAATTGTTGGATATGGGTGCACAACATGCATTGGGAATTCAGGGGACTTGGATGAAACTGTTGCTTCTGCTATATCAGAAAATGGTAATGTTGAAGTATTAATGTTCATTATCTTGGCACAAAGGTTATATGTTTTGTTTAACTCAAGAAAATTCACTTGTTACATGAATTAACATTTCCTTGACAAGAACTGATGCCCCATTTAATTAGTTTTTACTTCATCTCTAGCTTGTGCATCTAAAATTCTCTCACCTTCTGTTGCAGACATTGTAGCAGCTGCTGTGCTCTCTGGAAACAGAAATTTTGAGGGTCGTGTTCATCCATTGACAAGAGCTAATTACCTTGCCTCTCCTCCTTTAGTGGTTGCTTATGCCCTTGCTGGAACAGTATGTCATACTCACTATATAGTGCAATTATTTATTTATTATTTCATATAGGCGACTTAAGTTTCTGGTTGAGTGATTCAACTTCATGTATAGACATTAGTTAACTACCTTAGTTTATTCCAAGAACTTCCTTGCTTCATCCCCTTTATTCATTGCTTAAGCCAAACCCATTGTATATAATTTTACTTGCTTGGAAAGATGAATTACTTTTGAGGGGGTTGTCTTTTATATTTCTGTTATGTGCTTGTGTGTGCTCCCTAACGATTACAGTTTTTTCCTATCCGAAGAAGTGATAACACTTTCTTTTTAAATAACTATTTTATACCAAGAAAGTAATGAGAGGGACAATGGATATGGGATCACAAGCTATATAGTTTATATTCCTAGTTATTTTTTACTTTGTCAAATTTTCTTTTCATGCTATTGAGTCAGGAGAATACTCTGGAACGATTTTATTTCAATTTCTATGGTATCTGCACCTCTCTTTATTCTGGTAGCAAATAATTATTAAAATTCCTGTAATTTGGAGCCCACTATCCATCATTATGAACTGTAAAAAATGGTTTGCTGGCCTTTTTTTAACTGTTTTCTTAGCAACAGATATTTATAAGACATTGCTGGGGTCTTGAAGCATTATGAAATAGTTTTTGCTACCTGTTCTCTTTATCCCATTTCATGAACTACTATAATGAACACCTTAAATAGCTTGAGTGAGTTTTGATTATGTTTTAGCCAGTGTGTACGCAGTCATTTGTTTGCATCCATTTTATGATCCAATCAATCACCCACATTAGTTAACGCTAAAATTTTATTTTTCAGGTTGACATTGACTTTGATAAGGAGCCAATTGGAACAGGGAAGGATGGTAAGAGCGTTTATTTCAGGGATATCTGGCCATCTACTGAGGAGATTGCAGAGGTGGATATTTATTAGTTTGGATTTCTTGTGATATTTTGCTAATGAAACTTTAGTAGTATATGAAATGAACTCGTGAGTGTGTATACTTTGTAGGTAGTACAATCAAGCGTGTTGCCAGATATGTTCAGAAGCACTTATGAGTCTATTACTAAGGGCAACCCCACGTGGAATGAGCTATCAGTTACAGATTCCAAACTGTACTCTTGGGACCCTAATTCAACCTACATTCATGAGCCCCCATATTTCAAGGGTATGACTATGGATCCTCCTGGCGTAAAGGGAGTGAAGGATGCGTACTGCCTGTTGAATTTTGGTGACAGTATTACAACAGATCACATCTCCCCAGCAGGAAGCATCCACAAGGACAGTCCTGCAGCAAAATACCTTCTTGAGCGTGGGGTGGATCGCAAAGACTTCAACTCTTACGGTAGTCGTCGTGGCAATGATGAAGTCATGGCAAGGGGAACCTTTGCCAATATCCGCATTGTTAACAAGCTTTTGAATGGAGAAGTGGGCCCTAAAACAGTTCACATTCCTACAGGAGAGAAGCTCTATGTGTTTGATGCAGCAACAGTGAGTTTACTTTCACCAACTATTTGCACAAACTTCCAATTTTGTTTTCCTTGTACTCTTGAATGAAGTGGCCCATTTTTCTATTTTGCTGTAGAAACGCATTATTTGTTACCATGCTTTCAGTATTTTCTACTTCTTGGTGAATTCACTGTCCTTAGTTCAGCAAGAACAAAAATTCTTGCTTTTGCCTAATGGCGTCTTTTAGTTTTTCTGATAAATTTGGTTACAGTACTGATCATTGTGGGAACTGGGGGCACTAGTTAGTCATTTTTGAGATGCGACAATATACTTTATAACAATGTTTAAACTCCAGTTTCACTAGATCTTTTAAATCAATCTCTATTTCCATTTCAGAGATACAAGGCTGATGGGCATGACACCATTGTACTGGCTGGAGCTGAGTATGGAAGTGGAAGCTCTAGGGATTGGGCTGCCAAGGGTCCAATGCTATTGGTGAGTTTTTTTATGCAGCCATTTGATTTGAACGAGTTTGTAAGTTTTCATTATGGTTTTTCTTGTCTGGTTGAGTAACTTTTGGCATGCAACAGGGTGTTAAAGCGGTTATTGCTAAAAGTTTCGAGAGAATCCATCGTAGTAATTTGGTGGGGATGGGTATTGTTCCACTTTGTTTCAAGGCCGGTGAGGATGCTGATACACTAGGATTGACTGGTCATGAACGTTATACCATTGACCTCCCTAGCAGCATTAGTGAGATAAAACCCGGCCAAGATGTGACTGTCACTACAGACAATGGGAAATCTTTCACCTGCACTGTACGCTTTGACACTGAGGTACTTAACTACTTTGTTCATCCTTGTATTATATTTGCTTTTGTATAATTGCATTTTATGCTAAAAACAATTGAAGCATACTGTATTTTTTTTGTGTGCAAAAAATTATCGGCTTCTCCATAGATGCAAACTATTTTGTTCTGTTTCTGTTTGGTGTTCAAAGCTGGTTTTGTCAGCACAAGTTTTTCAGTAAAGATCTCTTTGTAGGTTGCTCATAATGTGATTTGGTTGCATTTGCAGGTGGAATTGGCTTATTTCAACCACGGAGGTATTCTTCATTATGTGATCAGGAACCTGAGTAAGCAGTAATTGCATAGCTTCGCTGTTCAGAGGACTTGCTATCCGCATCATGCAAGCGTTTTTAATTGTAAAATGTGAGGGAGCAAATAAAGTTCCTAATAATAGGAAAAAGGTCCCATTTTCGGGGGAGAGAGGTATTTATTTTTGGATAAATTCATCATCTTAACACTGCCCAGGCTGTGCAGGCATGTTGGTTGGTCGTTGAATAGGGCACAAAGTAGTTTCGAGCAATATAATCTTTTACTATTTCCAATTGTTGCTTGTATGTACCTTGGGGTTTCAAGGTGCCATGATTATAGGCAGTGTTTTGTCTTTCGAACAGTGATCTAATCAATGTGAGTTTTGTTCATGCATGCTCAATCTCTATCAACAATTTGTGAATCCAATTTGTGCAGTTTCCAATCCAACTGTGCATATGCTAAATTTGATAGTTTCACGGTGATTAACTATTTGCAGCCGCCTGTTCACTTCTTTTTACACCCACTGTTTAATGAATATAATAGTGGCAAAATATTTACTTGGTTAAATGACTTCTCTAAGAACTCCGATAGAAAAATAGAAGGAGAAGGAAAATGATAACATCATCTTCTCAATCTCCCCAACCCAATGTTTTCTGCTATTCTCGGAGTGTGACGTATAAGAATTGACTTGGACTCAATTTCAATATAATTCAAGCTGAAAACCAAATCAAACCTAAAAGGGACGGTATTTTGTTGATGATGTGGTGGTAAAAGAGGATTATTATTTTTTGAGATACGGTGGGGGAGGATGTGGAAAAAAGATAGGAATGATGAAAATAACAGCACTTGTAACTATACATTAACATTTTATAATGGTTTTGAACCCTTGATTATGGCCAATCTGAACATATAAAAACGTGCATTCAATCGTCCTCACATCAAAGATTTGGCCTGGCACGACATTATCTAATAATTTTAGGCTTGATATGAAACACGCATGCGCGAATTGCTTTTAACGAGAAATGCAAGAAAGAAACATCATCATACATATACTGTGTGGCAAATTGACAACTTTGCCAATTAGCGAAACCCAACAGAAATTCAAATACTTGTATATTTAGCTTTGAAAAATTAGGTCATGTTTTCCTTATGATTTCTAATTCAACCAAACTGTATATACATAAATACAGAAAGCTTCAGTTGAGGGATTTCTCAAATAATCATCTGTGTACGGCCCACCATGCATTGTATTTCAATAATCCAAACCATCTAATTTTTAATTATTCTATCAAAGATATATCTACAAAAAATCACTTGAATCCAAAATAATTTGACCATTTAATTAAATTGTTGTTATTGTTAGTCTATTTTGTTGGTTCCAATTGATGCCTTAATGATTTTCAATTTTCCTGATTTTTTTGCAAGGATGATATGAAGACTTGAAAAATAGACGGTTTGGATCGTTTAAAAAAAAATAAAAATTATAGGGTACTATACATTATATAAAATTAGAGTGATCCTCAAATAAAATTATTTGAAGAATTTCTTAATGGACTGTACATATATGTATATCAAATTGTCTCTTTAGTCACGAGCTCTCATTAGGAAGGCTCATGGAAAATTGAAATGAATGCACCACACCCCTTTTAAAAAAGTTCCAAACATCAAAATCGACCCAAAAAAAAAAGTTCTCAACATCACATATATACTTACGTTAATATTAACTCGTACAATATTTGATCATGACATGGTTTTTGATGCCAAATATAATCAACAACTTTCTACTTCTACAATTAATGAAAAAGAGCTAGAGAGAGAATTACAAAATGATCAATCTTGGTCCTCTGGAATGCTCTCTAAAGTTGGGCTCCAGCCACTACCTGTGCTTTCATCATTGCTTGTTCCAATCTCAGAAACCCTTGTTCCTCTGTTCCTCACTGCACTCAACAATTGCTCCAAAGAAGAATGGTTTGAATCTTTCTTGTAATCCAGAAGTTGTTTCAACTCCTCCTGAGTCAGCACCAGTCTAATTCTCACCACCCCATTTTTAGTAGATTCACCAGAAACAAGATTTCCTCTACCGCTATCTTCATCTTCTTGCAAATCAAACCTCACAGACTTCCTCTTTAGCTTCAGATTGGATGGCAATGGCATTGGTGCTGTCTTTTTGGCTTCTAGGGTATTGGCTTCCTCATGCTTCTCATGATCTTGTGCTGAAACCTTGTTATTACTTCTTCTCAAGCAATTCCCCATTTATGAGATATCAGAAAGAGAGAAAAAACAAGAAAAGTTCTTGACAGAGAGAGAATATATGAGAGAGAGAGAGAGAGAGAGAGAGAGAGAGAGAGAGAGGGGTGACAAAGTGAAGCATAACTATATTATATATAGAGAGAGTTTGGGAGCAGAGAAAGCACATGAAGCAGCGTTTGTTGCGCCGGGTTTTTCAAAGGACCAAGAGGGCTTAACAGTTTAATCATTGCTTGAGACCAAATAAATTAAGCATTCTCATATTACCAGTATCTCTTTGTTTTATGTGATTTTATGTTATCTTAACGTAACCGTTTGTTAGGCTCAATTTAATTTAATTTAATTTTTAAATATTAGTCAACCAGAACCACAGTAGTAATTATTAATGCGTTTATATCGAAAGCCATAAGTATCTGCTTTGATACTTGTATTAGATTAAGATTCCTTCCAATATCAGTCCAAGATATAACTTATCATAGCTTAAACTTAAATTAAGTTCCTCTAATCACTGCTAAACATGAGGCAAAGCCACTGTAGATGACACCAGATGATGTTTTAATTAAAAATTTCTTGTTAATGGTAATGGGTAGGTCTGTTTCTACATATTTGTTGGATTCTATGCAAATATGCATACCTCCAAGAGAGCATCCATCAGAAATTAAAGTATGCAACAAAATTAAGTTGGTGTCTATTCCAGCTCAGATCATTGCTGTTTATTCCTAATCTTATATCTAGCTAGCTAATTTGATGATTATGATCATGATCCTTCGTATGAACCAATCGTATCGAATTCGGACACGTATACACATGCAAATTAATTGGAAGAGAGACCAAAATAAATGCTTGATAATAGGTATACATCTTCACCTGCAAATTTTGCTTCCACCAACTTTTAACTACTTTTGATTACAAAATTAAGCATATATAATAATAATATAGCAACCCCTCCAACCATGTACACCAAGTTCATCTAACGAATTAAAGTGTCCAACGCTGGTTTTTATAATTGGAATTGATGATGAACTGGCTTTTTCTTTTGCTTATAGCTGTTATAATGATGACGCACAGAGAACAGACTTGATGGTTGCTTGGACAGATATCATACTACTAAACCAGCAGGTAAAATACAATACAAGTCAAAAGGCAAACAATTAATAACATATGTTCGAAAAATGTTCTATCGAGAGACTGTGAATCTAGACCATTAATCCGCTTAATGACATGTCAGATTGGGAAATTTGGATCAAAAATAGTCGGGTTGGTAGGTTATTGTCTGAATGTGTATAATTCAAATTCACACTCTGACATGGAATTTTTATGTAATAATATTTATGAGTATGACGAGACAACTTTACTCAAGTTAGATGCGGACGTAACTTAATAGCTTAGCTAGCAAAGGGTGGTGGGGGTGGGGTTGGCTGCACGTGATCGCGAGATGCTTTGCATGGGAGAGGTGGGGTTCACTGCATATCATGTGCATTTGCATTACGTATATGCCATGATTTCAGGGTCGTTGAAATTTAAACTTGAAATAATAGATATGAGGAGGAGGGAGGGGTCTTACGCGTTAAAAGCAGAGCGGCTTTAGTCTTCAGAAGCATCCTTTCACATGGCGTCAGGTCTTCGTGTTCAAATTGAATTCATATTTTGTCAATAATAATGGGAGACAAACCACCTTCCACAAAGGCATCAGAAACCCATTTTAAATATGGACTTGTTTTATGGCTCTTCTTTGACTATGTGACACTTACTTCTACTTCACATTTTATCCCAATATTCTACCACCGAAAAATAAGGAAATATAAAAAATTGGAAAGAAGAAAGATAGGTTTGGCCAATGCCGCGTCTGCCTCTATGCATCCGAGTTTGATTCTTTTTCGCGTACATTAGAGTAGCTTAAAATATCGATTTGTAAAAACAGAAATTTTTAAAAAAAGTTGGTTTATTGATTTATTAAGGGCTACTTTTACTTTATTTATTTTGGTCAAAAAGGCTTACTTTAAATTAAACACATTTTAGTAAAGAACTTTGGTTTGGGGTGACTATTGATAAAGCCAACGTCAAAAGAAAATGGCTTAATATCACAAAACGTCTATGAGGTTTACGAAATTATCAAATTGCATCCTTAATGTTTTTCTTTTGGTCATTCGTGGTTCTCAAAGTTAGTATGTGTGATTACAAATGGTCCCTGCCGTTAGGTTTCCTAAAAAACTCCGTAAGTTTGCTAACGTGGCATATATATATATATATATATCACAAAACATCCCTGAGGTTCATGCACCTATCACAAATGGTCCATGCAAAATTTTATAATTTTGTAATTTAAAATTCATAAAATTTTGGTTTTCTTTTTAAAATTATTTAAAAATATATATTGTATTTTGAATACACGTGGCACTATATTTTTGAATATGTGGGCTCTATATATATGTCACATCAACAAACTAATAAAGTTTTTATAAAATAATTTAAAATTCATAAAACCTAAAAATGGTCCTCAATGTTAAATTTTGGTTATAAATGATTTTTTCATTTTTAAAATTTTTGAATTTTAAATTATTTTTTTTTAAAAAACTTCATTAGTTTGTTGATGTGGCATATATGTGAAGCCCACATCTTCAAAAATATAGTGTCATGTGTTTAAAATACAATATATATTTTTAAATAATTTAAAAAAGAAAATCAAAATTTTATGAATTTTAAATTAAAAATTTTCGCATGGACCATTTGTGATAGGTGCGTTAACCTCAGGGATGTTTTGAAATATATATATGTATATGCCACATCAACAAACTAACAGAATTTTTGACAGAACCTAACGGCAGGGACCGTTTGTGATCACACATATTAATCCTAAGGACTACGAATGACACAAAAAAACAATAAGGATGCAATCTAATAATTTCGTAAACCTTAAAGATATTTTGTGATATTAAGCCAAAGAAAATACTCTAAATTGCTTGCATCCGACGGTCCTCTCCTTCTTTTCTGACCGGCATCGGACGGGTCAAAAGCCGCCATGCCGCACTAAAACGCAACACAACTTGAAATACACAAGCAACCGCTCACGTGCCCGCTCTAAAGGCTTGGGTCTTCGGCACGTGATCATCTCTGACTTCTACCATAACACGTGCTTCCCTCTATCACACGTGTGAACTGAGCAAGTGCCGGGAGAAGGGGAGCGGAGAGAGAGAGAGACAGAGGGGGGCTGCAGCCGCTGAACTTCACTTCATATTGCCTTTCATCTCTCTCTGCTCTCTGCCATTCCCATTTTCGTTTGGACTCTAAATTCTCTGAATGTTGCTATCAGATGTTAAACCTCGAAATTTTACAGTGTTTGCCTTCCATTTCACATTGTTCATTTGAGCACATTCTACTTGGTAGGCACTGAACGATTGCAAAAATGAGACAAGGGGTTTCTTTCAGTCTAACCCTTCCATTTACTCTACTTTTGCTTCTCTGTAAGTGTTTTAGTTTATCTTTGTTCTCTTCATTTTGTCTCTTGGCCTTGCTAATTTTTTTTTCTTGTGATTTCATTGAAGTTATCAGCTGGGTTTTGGTTTAATTGCTTAATGTTTCATTATTACTTATATAAATTTTTGAAAGTTTCATACTTCCTGTTATTGCTTCTCTGTCAGCATTGGTATTTGGTACTTGCCATTTTGAAAATTTTACTGCTTCTATCTACCAAGCAATTGGCATTCCTTTTTCATTTTTGTTTGTTTTCTTTCATTTACATTATGAACATTTTTAGTTGGGTCATTGTGTATAAGCGGTATGTTGGGAATGAAGTTTATGGTGTTGATGGGTACATTTTCATGTCATGGTTTCTTGTAGTTTTTGGATTCGGAATTTGGCATGAAAATATCATTTACTTGAAGGATTGCTCAAGTACAAGGCTGTCTTGTTTGCTCTATGACTAAGTTGGTGTTGTCTACTTAGTATGGTTTTGGTTCTGTTTACCCATGTGCAGGTGTATATGAGTCCCGTGGCGGTTCAGTTAGGAATACGGAAGCAATAGCTCCTGATATCTCATCCAGTGTAAACCCTCAGCCTTTTCTTCCTTTACTAGCCCCTTCACCATTGACGGCATTCACAAATTACAGCATCCCGAAATTATCAGGTATGTGAGGTACCAGGGCATGCCATATTACTACATTTTAGTGTCACAAATACTTGTTGTATATTACCTTGTGATAACTTATCATAAAAGATAGTCTGGGGAGTTTATGCATCAATTAGAGGTTGAAACTTGAAAGCATGAGATATTGGCCAATTTCTGATTGTAATATCTTCTAGTAATCCTAATAGGTTGCACACTTTGAACAGTTCACTTCATGCAGAAATTTATCGTCATGGGTGAGGAGGAAAATAAATGGATAAAGTTCCACTTAACATGCTTTCAAAGCCTTTCATGGAAATGATTAACAACTGGACACTTTATGTCATGGAAAATGCGGAGAACAGAACCTAGATTGATTGGTCTTTGTATATTTCAGGACTTTGTACATTAAATTTTTCAGCGGCTGGAAATATGATGAGTGTAACGGCAACTGACTGCTGGGCTTCCTTTGCACCCTTGTTGGCGGATGTGGTTTGTTGTCCTCAGTTTGATGCCACCTTAGCGACTCTTATAGGGCAATACAGTAAATACTCTAGGATGCTCACTTTGAATGTGACCCATGCAAAGCACTGCCTCTCAGATGTTGAGAAGATCCTAGAGGGTCAAGGAACAAACGAGAATATTCAAAAGATATGCTCAATTGAACCAGAAACCCTCACTGGAGCTTCTTGTCCTGTTATAGAGGTTGATACATTTGAGAGCACTGTGGATTCTTCAAAACTACTTGGCGCTTGCAGAAAAATTGATATTGTCAATGAGTGTTGTGACCAAGTTTGCCAGAGTGCCATATTAGATGCTGCTAGAACAATTGCCGCGATTGGTATGCCAAATTCAAAAGGGGTCAATATATTGCCTGAACACTCAACTAGGATTGATGATTGTAAGAATATTGTCCTGCGATGGCTGGCCAGTAACCTTGATCCTTCTTCTGCGAATAAGGTTCTTAGAGGACTTTCAAATTGCAAAGTAAATAAAGGTCAGCACAAAAATACGAAAAGAAAAGAAAAATAAGTCTCTTGTACTTCGTTGAGTATTTGAAAGAATATGACAACCACTATGAAATTAGTACTTACATCCAGTATACATGTCATTCCATTGTTAGGTTAAGGACCGATTTATCCGGAATTATCAATCCGATGTTGACTTATAGATCTCCATTGTTTTCTCATATGGTTCAGTTTGTCCTCTGGTTTTCCCCAACATGACAAATGTTGTGAAAGAATGTGCAAATGGGATAAGTAATCAGACAGCATGCTGCAAAGCAATGGATAGTTATGTTTCTCAGTTGCAACAACAGAGTTTCATTACAAACTTGCAGGCCTTGAATTGTGCAGCATCACTTGGAGTGAAGTTGCAGAAAGCTAATGTATCCGACAATGTTTATAATCTTTGTCATATAAATCTAAAAGACTTCTCTCTTCAAGGTCAGTGTTGTTATATCAGGTTAAATAAATGACTGCTATAAGTCTATAATCCTATTGCAATTTTTATTTTTTCAGAAAATTGAGTACTGATTAGTGTATTATTTTTTGATTTATTATCCGTGGTGGTGGATTTTAATCATTGGCGGCATCAGTTGGATCACAAGGTAATGCTTAATTCTTAAACAAACAATTAGCCACTTCAATTGTTTTTACTATGATTTTCACTTCACTTCAACTCTGTTGATTGATAATTTGCAGTTTTACCATAATTTTCTCCCCTATTTATTGGATAGACTTTAATTATTGAATTAGTTGCTATCTCCTTTAATTAGTTCCCCTGTTCTCCTACCATATGACAATAAATGATGGCTTTTTGAATTTTCTGCATAGAATTTTAGGACTTAACAAAAGGGAAGGTATATCAGGCTAACTATATTCAGTTTCTACTATCATCAAGTCTTTTTATTCTGTTGTTATTAATTAAAACAAGGATTTGGGTGTTTAATCCTCAATGAATCTGCTAATCGATTCTCTACCAACAGACTTATTTCTTGAAAATATTATTACTCTTAGAGTTTTGCATTTATAGATTCCCTTAAGAAATCCTTTTCTTTTGTTCTTTCTATTCTTTCCGCTCTGTTCTTTGATCTAAATTTTTGTCTATTCCATTCATATATGATTAGAATATGGCTGCCTTCTGCCAAGCTTGCCTTCAGATGCAACTTATGATATAACTTCGGGAATCAGCTTCATTTGTGATCTTAATGACAACATTGCGGCTCCGTGGCCCTCTTCCTCTTCTGAACATCCATCATCTTGCAAGAAAAGTAAGCTAGACCTGTGAAACTTTACTTTGTCTATTGAATTTTGTTTCCTAGAATCCTTTAGGTTTATTTTCCAGCCATGTATTTTATGGTGTTTTTTTTATGGGATTACAGCAACCAAACTTCCAGCAGTACCCAAAGCAACATCTGCACAAAGTGGTAAGCAACTTTGATCTACTTTGCTATGTTCAAATGAACCAAATTTCTGTTATTGTGAGATAGAACACACATCTTCCTCCAAATCTTGAAGTAGATCCTTTGTATGGAGAACAACATTTCTACTTTCTTGAATTCTATTGGGTTGCATTTATTTGGAAAATTGAATGATGCGAAACATGTTTAACTTCCTAGTTCATTTCATACTGAAGACGATCATGCTAACTGCTTTTGGTGTTGATAACATATGTATACAATTGAACCAAGTTCATAATGATACATGACTGAGAAACTTAGTCACACAGGTGATTAACAGTAACATTTCGAGGGTATGAAAAGGAACGATGATGCAAAAAGTTGAAAGACCTCTAGACCAAAAAAAAGAAGAAACCACCTAGTTTTGTGTTGCTTTTATCTTTTGGTACCAAACTTGTCCTCTCAGACATGGGGAAGTCTTTTGTTTTTTTTTTGTTTCTTTTTAGTAGCTTAGCTTGCTTGCAAGACGTCCTCCAGTCACATTACTTGTTGATGCATTGCAGGTCTTATCAATGAGGATTTGATCTTCCTTTCGTTCTTTTCTTCCTTACTGGTTCTGAAGATTCTCCTTTGAAGTTGGCAGCAGAGGTTCTTTCTTTCTTTTTTAGTCATGTGACAACAGCTTTTACATACCTTTTAATACGAGCCCGTTGTAAATCTGAGATTTGGAAAGGACTTGACATTTACAAGTCCAACATGTGTCTCTATGTTTTCATACAAAAGAACAGTAACAGCTGTGATTTTATGCAATAATGTAATGTACCAAAAAACCTCACTGGAGCTTCTCGTCCTGTTATAGAGGTTGATACGTTTGAGAGCACTGTGGATTCTTCAAAACTACTTGGCGCTTGCAGAAAAGTTGATCCTGTCAATGAGTGTTGTGACCAAGTTTGCCAGAATGCCATTTTAGATGCTGCTTGAACAATTGCCCCAATTGGTATGCCGAATTCGAAAGGCGTCAATCTATTGCCTGAACACTCAGCTAGGATTGATGATTGTAAAAATATTGTCCTGCGATGGCTGGCCAGCAAGCTTGATCTTTCTTCTGCGAATAAGGTTCTTAGAGGACTTTCAAATTGCAAAGTAAACAGAGGTCAGCAAAAAAGAGGAAAAGGAAAGAAAAATAAGTCTCTTGTACGTCGTTGAGTATTCAAAAGAATATGATAACCACTATGAAATGCTTGCTTACATCCAGTAGACATGTCATTCCATTGTTAGGTTAAGGACCGATTTATACTGAATTATCAACCCCATGTTGACTTATAGATCTTCAATGTTGTTTTCTCATATATATGGTTCAGGTCAGTGTCCTGTGGTTTTCCCCCACATGACATGTGTTGTGAAAGAATGTGCAAATGGGATAAGTACAAGAAAAAAGGTCAGTAATGACCAAATGAATAATTGTCACAAAAATTAATTAATTAAGATGTAATGCCATTGCCAAGGACTCAACGTCAACACGAAGATGATAAAAATACTTGTCAGAAATCTTGTTACATATAAATGAAATTTATGTGTCTCCTATTATTCTTATAGGAACTTTGTTTTTAACACCTCATTTTCTTTACAAAGAAAGCTAGTAAAAATGTCTTAGGCATCTTCATTCATTGTCAATTAATTTTGCGCAATGTTCACATTCTAAAATGAATGTTGGTTCAGTGTTGTGCATATGAATTGAATGTTGATTCACACAAAATGGGAAACATCTGCGGCTCTCTCTCGTTTTTTTTCAATTTTCATTTCCCTTCCCTTAGAGAAATTATAGAATGCTACAATAGTATGCCCAACTCCTCTCCCATTTTAAATCTTTCCATATTGTGACACGCCCCATAACCCTCCTTCCTATTTAAACTCTTCCCCCCATCATATTTAATCTGCTCCACTCTTTAGTCAATCTCCACATTAGTCATCAAATATCACCAAATAATGGTGACTATATATTGCCATTTTTTCTTTTGTAGTGACCACAAAATCCCCTCACACCAAATTCCCCAAACTTCAAAACACAAATGGCTTCTTCCCTAAATGACATCCACCAGCCTCTGCTACAATCCTATCCACGACCTCCCACCACAACCACAAAACATGATGAGCACGATCATGATCTCCACGCAAGCAACGAGCTTGAAAGAGTGCTTTCTGACACAGACAGGCCATTTTTGGAGCGTCTTAAACCGGCTCTATGGATTGAGTCCAAGCTCCTTTTCTACCTCGCTGCGCCAGCCGTCATCGTTTACATGATCAACTATGTCATGAGCATGTCCACCCAAATTTTCGCAGGCCACCTTGGTAATCTTGAGCTGGCCGCTGCCTCCCTCGGCAACAATGGCATCCTAATTTTCTCCTATGGACTCTTAGTACGTAATGTTTATCAACAATGTCATATCATTTGGTGAACAAAATTAGTAATATAAATTTAGTGACTCTAGCATTAACGCACGTATATGTTACTCATTTTAAATTAATTTCTCAACAGTTAGGCATGGGGAGCGCGGTGGAGACACTTTGTGGGCAAGCCTATGGTGCACACAAGTATGAAATGCTAGGGATATATCTACAAAGGTCAACCATACTCTTAACTTTGGGTGGTGTGCTCCTCACCGTCGTCTATATCTACTACAGACCAATCTTGATCCTTCTAGGCCAATCTCCAAGCATTGCATCTGCAGCTGCAATCTACGTCTATGGCCTGATCCCTCAAATCTTTTCCTTTGCTGTCAACTTCCCGATCCAAAAGTTTCTGCAAGCTCAAAGCATAGTGGCCCCAAGCGCCTATATCTCTGCATCAACCCTAGTTTTGCACCTTGTGCTCAGCTGGGTTGTGGTGTACAAGATGGGGCTTGGCTTGCTGGGTGCTGCATTGGTGCTCAGCCTTTCATGGTGGATCACTGTGTTGGCGCAGTTTGTGTACATTGTCAAGAGTAAGAGGTGCAAGAACACATGGAGTGGGTTTAGTTGGCAGGCCTTTAGTGGGTTGCTAGGGTTTTTCAAATTATCTGTGGCTTCTGCTGTGATGCTTTGCCTTGAGACTTGGTACTTTCAGATCCCTGTTTTGCTTGCTGGGTTGCTGCCAAACCCTGAGTTGGCTTTGGACTCTCTCTCAATCTGGTAAGCAATTTTTCCTTCTTTCTTATTTTTGTATGCAATTGACGTGCGCTTGTATTATTTTATTTTTTTGCTAATCAATTAAAGGAGAATAGTGGGTCAACCAAATGTCTGGATACCAATTAATATATTTATATTTATGTATTGGTTACCAAATAAATCTACTTATTTTGACCATACTTACCAACAATATCCTCTAAGAGGAATTTGGGGAGTGTAATGATGTGGTTGTAGGGACATTTCATGATCTGCACAGAGACCTTTGTCTTTCTTTCGTACAATAGTTGGTTATGATACCAAAAAAAAAAAACAAAAAAATCTGCAAATATAAATTATTTTAATTTAGAAAGGCAAAAGAAAAATGTGATTGTATTTTGTTGAGTTTGTGTTTAGTTTTATTCGTTTGTTTTTTAAATTCATCAACTTAAATTTGATACATGGGTTGCTGAAAATTGATTGCAGCACAACAATATCTGGGTGGGTCTTCATGATCTCAGTTGGGTTAAATGCAGCTGCAAGGTCAGTTTCAAATATATACGAACATGTCACATAACTAATTAGAAAAATTAGAACTGTTGTATTTTATTTTAACTGTTGATAATTGACTGCAAGTAGTGTGAGAGTTAGCAATGAGCTTGGAGCTGGAAATCCGAAGTCTACAGCATTTTCTGTGGTGGTGGTGACCACAGTCTCTTTCCTCATCTCAATTGTGGCTGCAATAATTGTTCTAATATGGCGAGATATTATAAGCTATGCCTTCACAGAGGGTGAAGCTGTGGCTGCTGCTGTATCTGATCTCTGCCCATTTCTTGCCCTCACCCTCCTCCTTAATGGCATCCAGCCAATCTTGTCAGGTAAATATATGTTAATTGTAATTAAATGTAAATCATTGTGTTGGTTAAGTGAAATCGGCTAATTAGTGTTGTATTATTATGAGATTATTAGGTGTTGCTGTTGGGTGTGGATGGCAAGCTTTTGTTGCGTATGTGAATGTGGGGTGCTATTACTTGGTTGGAGTACCATTTGGCGTGCTTCTAGGATTTTACTTCAAATATGGTGCTAAGGTATACTTGGATTAGATTCAACTATATTGGAGACCTAGGGCCGTATTTTCTGATCATTAAGCTAATCGCATGACGCGATTGTTAATTAATTAACATCACTTGTAGCATTACGTGATCAACTAATAACAGCTTGATATTTTCACAGGGAATATGGTTGGGGATGATGGCTGGCACCTTGATGCAAACAGTCATTCTAATATGGGTGACCTATCGGACCGATTGGAAGAAAGAGGTAAGCTACTATTTAAAAACGAGCTATTGATATCATAAGGGATCTTAGGTTATTTAAGTTTCACTATATTTTTATTAATATTGAAATGAAATTTTCAATTGAATTGCAGGTGGAAGAAGCAGCTAAAAGGTTGAATAAGTGGGAGGAGGTGAAGGAGCAACTGAAATAAGAAAGCAGTTATGGGACAGCAACTCGAGCATTTTCATGTGGTGGAGTGGAAACTCATTTTGGGTTGAGCTCTTGTGTGGTCAGATTGAAGATTAGTTAGTTAAACAATGTATTGTAGAACGTTAAATTTCAGAGAGACGGGTCAATGACCCACTACTAACAACACCGATATTGTTCCCAACTTAATCACCTACAAAGCCCAGTAGGTGTGGTATTTTATTACAAAAGGCCTCGGTATTATTAATAGTTACCATTCATTATATTTTGTATTTTATTTAGTGAAGTTTCTGATGTGGGACTTATATTCTTCAACACGCCCCTTCACGTGGGACCACCACATAGTGAGCTATACGTGGAGTCAAGTTCACATCGAAGTCAAATATTCAAGCCCAACATGTGAACACCACGTATTGGGTAAGAGTAAACATTCAAGCCCAACATGTGAATACCACATGCTGGGTAAATGGTAAGGGTAAATGCCTAGTCAATCAACCCACTCTAATACCATGTTAAATTTCAGAGAGACGGGCCAACGGCCCACTACTAGCAACACCGATATTGTCCCCAACTTAACATATATAAAGCCCAGTAGGTGTGGGGTTTTATTACAAAAGGCCTCGGTATTATTAGTAGTAGAACTATTCATTATATTTTGTATTTTATTTAGTTAAGTTTCTAATGTGGGACTTATATTCTTCAACACGGAAGAGTTCTGAATTATTTTATTATCTTCCATGAAATAATGGATGGCTATTTCCTATAGCTCTCCATGCATCTTTCTCACATATTTGTATATAAAAGCTGGCCAGCCAGCCGAGAAAGGGGATATCATTGTTTTGCTATTCTCACCAAACATAATACGCCACTTGGCATACTGTAATTAGTTCGGGGCAATGTTATACAGTTTGATACGTTTGAGAGCACTGGGGATTCTTCAAAACAACTTGCAGCTTGCAGAAAAAGTTGATCCTGTTTGCCAGAATGCCATATTAGATGCCGCTAGAACAATTGCCGTGATTGGTATGCTAAATTCGAAAGGGGCCAATCTATTGGATTGATGATTGTAAGAATATTGTCCTGCGATGGCTGGCCAGTAAACCTCGATCCTTCTTCTGCGAATAAGGTTCTAAGAGGACTTTCAAATTCCAAAGTGAATAAAGTTCAGCACAAAAATAGGAAAAGGAAAGAAAAATAAGTCTCTTGTACGTGGTTGAGTATTCGAAAGAAAATATGACAACCACTATGAAATGCTTACTTACATTTAGTAGACATGTCATTCCATTGTTAGGTTAAGGACCGATTTATCCGGAATTATCAATCCTATGTTGACTTATATAGATCTTCAATGTTGCTTTCTCATATGGTTCAGTTTGTCCTCTGGTTTTCCCCAACATGACAAATGCTGTGAAAGAATGTGCAAATGGGATAAGTAATCAGACAGCATGCTGCAGAGCAATGGATAGTTATGTTTCTTAGTTGCAACAACAGAGTTTCATTACAAACTTGCAGGCCTTGAATCGTGCAGCATCACTTGCAAGAAAAGTAAGCTGGATTGTATTAGTTTACTTTTCATATAATAAAGTTCATTCTCTTCGTATGTGAGTTAAAGAATCATTGCAAATGATAGAAATTTCTGCTTATTTCATTAGTATTTTTAAGCATGAGCATACTCTTTTTTTGTTGCTAGAAAGTTCTGTAATGTTATGTTGTTCCCTATATCGACAATTGCAGTATACCGAAAACTGTGATATACCGCAATATGTCGGTCGGTTCATGATTCGTCTTTTCATCATACCACAATATATCGGTCAATTCACGGTTTCATTAAAAAGTTGCGGTAACCGAATCACAACCACCCTTATACTAGTGTAAAAATATCTTACTAATTTACCTATAAGTTATTTAAAAAAAATAGGTATGCTAATTTAATTAGATTGCATCGGTAAATTATTTAAAAGGTAGGTACATTATTTTTTATATAAAAAAAAGGTAGTTACTTTGTAATAGAAAAATTCTGTATATTTTTTATAAATGAAAAACAGATACATAATAATTTTGAATAGTATATATGCTATTTTTATTAAATTGAGATAATAAGTAAATTCTTCATAAAAGATAATAGGTATATTATTATCTATTACATTAAAAAATTATGTTTCCTAATAGAAGTAATAGGTATGTTATTTTTTCAACATAAAATTGTATGTACATTATTATAATTTAAAAAAAAAATAATATAATAGATAATTAATCACGTATACTTCTTAAATAAATAAATAAAATATTTTTTTGTTAAATAAACCGATTAGGTATGTTAAATATGAATTTATTGATCCACCAAGAAAGTCTTACCATATTGGCAATGGAAGAAACCCTAGCCGCTCTCTCCCCTTGTGAGTCTTAAATGAAAACTCCATACAAGGGGGAGGAGAAAGAAGCGTCACTGCCCCTCATTCCCCTCCTCTTTTCTCGCCTTTTCCTTTTAGGTTAGTAAATAAGTCCACTGGGGTGTTTTGAATAAAAAATTCTTTGTGGTGGTTTCTTCTGAGCCATGGTAGATTGAAGTTTCCCATCACCCATTTTAGTATATGTTCTCAATCAAATCCTGCTCCCAAAACCCTTTCCTTAACGCCGCTCATGTTCTCTAAATTTGATTCTACATTGTCTTTGACGGAGGTTGCTGCAAATGACCCATTGTTTTTTAGCAAGATTGTTGTTTTAATTTATTTGTTCGATTTTATGCTCAGATAGATCGTTGGAAATCATATTTCATCCAGATCTATTACGG